AGGGATGGGCGGAGGGATGGGCGGAGGGATGGGTGGAGGGATGGGCGGAGGGATGGGCAGAGGATGGGCAGAGGGATGGGCGGAGGGATGGGCGGAGGGATGGGCGGAGGGATGGGCGGAAGGGATGGGCGGAGGGATGGGCAGAGGATGGGCAGAGGGATGGACGGAGGGATGGGCGGAGGGTTGGGCGGAGGGATGGGCGGAGGGATGGGCGGAGGGATGGGTGGACGGATGGGAGGAGGGATGGGCGGACGGATGGGCGGAGGGATGGGCGGAGGGATGGGTGGACGGATGGGCGGACGGATGGGCGGAGGGAAGGTGTTGAGGTGGGGTGCGTGGCATGTGGTGGGATTGGCGGCAGAGGCGAGGTGAAGCGCGTCGCTGACTGCTCGCATGCTGCCTCGCTCTTGCCCCCTGGTATCTGTCTCTCCCCTCCCGCACACTCCTCACCCTTACGCGCACACACAAGTACCCCCACTCCCATGCGCACCAACATTCCCTTCCCCCCCCCTCCCTCTTCCCCTGTGCCGTGCCCCGTCCAGGAGATGGCGATGGTGGCGCGGCTGTGCCCCGCCTGCGCCGCTACTGCGCGCGCTCGCTGTACCACCGCAGCATCGGGGGCAGCGGGCCGGGCTCGGCCTGGCAAGCGGCGCAGCAGCCGCTGCTGCTGCTGCAGCACTGCCCACGGCTCTCCGTGCTGTCCTCCGGCGACTCGTGCTCACCAAGGAAAGGTCCGCCGCCCTTCCCCCCATTCCCCGCTTCCCTGCCGCTGTGCATTCCTGTCCCCCGTGCCCACTGGCTCTCACCGTTCCTTTTCCTGCTCGTTCCTGTGTCACCCTTTCCCCCTAGCCGCATTCCGCCCTTCCTTTTCTTCGCCCCTCCGTTCTTACAGCGCTCGGACCCTACAAACGTGTCCCCCCTTTCTCCTCCCTCCCCCTCGCCAGTCTCCCGCGCTGCTCTCGTCGCAGCGCCCGTACGCGCTGCAGCAGGCCAGTGTGCATGTGGCGCTGGGGGGCGACGCGCACGGGGAGGGCGCGGCTGCTAGCGCGGACGCGGAGGAGGGCGAGTGGCGGCAGGCAGCAGGCAGGCAGTTGCAGGTGCGCCGAGATGCGCGCTTGGGGGGGGGTGCCGTGGGGGCAGGGGAATGGGGGCGGGGGTGGAGAAGGGAGGGGGAAGGTGGGTGAGGGCCCTGTCTTAGAAAATAAGAATGGGTTAAGAAAAGGGTGGCTGGAATGACAAGTGTATCTGGAGGGAAATGCCTCTGTGTGTGCGTCACTTGCCATCACGGTGCTCCCATCCCATTCCGCCTCTTCCTTCACCTTCCCCTCCACCCTTTCGTCGTCCCCCCCATCCTAGCGGCTGCAGTCATCTTCATCATTCCGTGACTGTCTCGCCCCTCCCACCCCACTCTCCTTCCCCGTCCTCCCTACCCTGCAACCCTCCCCCCTGCACCCATGGCAGCGCCTGGCGTCGCTGCTGCCAGCGCTGCGCACGGTGCACCTGTCGTACGCCACGGCCTCCTGCGTGCCCCTTGCTGCTGCCCTCCTCACGCACCTGCCCCAGCTGCAGGTAGCGCACTGCGACGGGCCACGTGCTGCACCCACTGTGTGCAGGCTGGGAAATGGGGGGGGGGTGTGGTGTGGATGTGGGTGTATGGATGAAAGAGTGTTTGACGGCACCTTCAGATTGAGTACATCTGTGCAGAAGTTTTGCCTGTGTGCCATGGTGAGGTTCGTGCGGGCAATCTGCTGTCAACCAGCAGCAGCGCATGGCCCATGAGAGGCTGCGTGACCCATCCATGCTATTCGCCCTCATGCCATACCATCATGTAACTTGGTTGCTCTTAAGAGCTCATGCTTGCCAAACCATAACACCCCAGAGCCCTCTCCCCTCCACCTTCTGCCGCTCCTATTTCCCCCTTCTCCCCTTCGAATCCCCTCCCTGCCTCTCTTCCTCCCCCATCGCCCCTGTCAGAGTGTGACGATCGCCAACGACCCGTCCTTCCTGGCGCGCCGCGCCATGGAGTACCTGCTCCACCACGGCCCCGCCGCCACTGCCGCAGCCACCCCGCCCTCGCACCTGCCGCGCCTCTTCCAGTCGCTGCCGCCCTCCGTGGCGTGCCTCAACCTGCTCTCCGTGCCGCACGCCGACTTCGACGCCGTCTTTGGGCCCGCTGAGCAAGCGCTGACTCACCTTCCATGCACTCTGACACATCTTGACGTGTCTTTCGTTGATTGGCCAAGAAGGTCCCTGACAGAGCAGCAACAGGCAGCAGTACGGCGGGCGCTGGCAGCGACAGGCAGTGGCGGGTCACTGGCGAGCTGCCGGGTGAGGGGATCAGCGGGGCTGCAGCTCAAGGAGGACTCGCTGCTCTTCTCCATCACCATTCCCTGATCGCTATCCACCGCTCCATCATCACCCCCCCTGTGTGAAGTTTGAGCTGTGTCGGCATCCCTGGCAGCTGCATGAAGGTTGTCATGCACTGTGGTGGCTGCTCTGCCTGTGGGTGCACCCCACTCTACACCAATCTCACCACACGCCTGTTCAGATGAGGCGGTACCAGGGAAGCGTTTTTGCGTGCCAGCTGTGTTGCAGTGTAGAGATCGTGCGTTCATTATTTGTGTTTGTTCTTTCACTGCTTGCTCCCCCCAATCCACTTGGCTGAGGCAGAACAACCTCCCCCTACTTGCAGTATCCCCCTGACCTGAGGTTCGGAACGTTCCTGTCCCAAAAATTAGCGTTGAGTTGTGCAGTGTGGCACTAAATTGCTAGATTGGATACTTGCACCATGCTGTACCGTACTATTTGGAATGGCTGTGTGAAACATATATATTTGAGTGGTATTATTGTCAACAAATATATTTATATAGATTAGCTACGTCATATTTGTTTATAGCCTAGCTAGTTTAGATTTTGGCATTAAAGCGAGAGGTTATAATAGTGACCCATCTTTCTAGTTGGGCCCAACTTGATTGGGATGGGACCCTCGAACATATAGGGGGTACAAGCGAGCGGGCAGAAGAAAACGTCGTTTCGGGGCGGGCAGTCACTCAGCAGCAAAAGCACCTGCCCGCGCGACAAATTCAGATATGTGGACAGGGCTCTGTTTATACACATAATGTCAAACATGTGTATTTGTCATGTTTGTATAGACTGTATAGGGTCGCCTCTTAGAGGGTACAACACTTAGGTATATCTGTGTGTACTCTCACTCTATCATCATTCACTTCTCTAATCTGATATGGTATCACGCGTAGGTTAGGATCCCCCCCCACCTACCGCTTCCGCTCGCCCCCCCTAGCCCCGTCGTGCCCCTAGCCCCGTCGCGACCCCCCTAGCCCCGTCGCGCCCCTTCCTGGGCCCCGTAGCGCCCCTCCTGGGCCCCGTCGCGCCCCTACTGGGCCCTGTAGCGCCCCTCCTGGGCCCCGTCGCGCCCCTCCTGGGCCCCGTCGCGCCCCTCCTGGGCTCCGTAGCGCCCCTCCTGGGCCCCGTCGCGCCCCTCCTAGGCCCCGTAGCGCCCCTCTTGGGCCTCGTCGTGCCCCTCCTGGGCTCCGTAGCGCCCCTCCTAGGCTCCGTAGCGCCCTCCTGGGCCCCGTCGCGCCCCTCCTAGGCCCTGTAGCGCCCCTCCTGGGCCCCGTCGCGCCCCTCCCAGGCCCCGTCGCGCCCCTCCTGGGCTCCGTAGCGCCCCTCCTGGGCCCCGTCGCGCCCCTCCTAGGCCCCGTAGCGCCCTCCCTGGGCCTCGTCGCGCCCCTCCTGGGCTCCGTAGCGCCCCTCCTGGGCCCCGTAGCGCCCCTCCTGGGCCCCGTCGCGCCCTTCCTGGGCCCTGTAGCGTCCCTCCTGGGCCCCGTCGCGCCCCTCCCAGGCCCCGTCGCGCCCCTCCTGGGCTCCGTAGCGCCCCTCCTGGGCCCCGTCGCGCCCCTCCCAGGCCCCGTCGCGCCCCTCCTGGGCTCCGTAGCGCCCCTCCTGGGCCTCGTCGTGCCCCTCCTGGGCCCCGTTGCGCCCCTCCTGGGCCGCGTCGAGCCCCCTCCTGGGCCCCGTCACGCCTTCAGGCCCCGTCGCACCCGCCCGGCCCCGTCGCACCAGCCCGGCCCCGTCACGCCCGCCCGGCCCCGTCGCACCCGCCCGGCCCCGTCGCCCCCTGCCCGGCCCCGTCGCAGCCGCCCGGCCCCGTCGCATCCGTCCGGCCCTGTCGCGCCCGCCCAGCCCCGGTGCGCCCCTCCTGGGCCACCGTCCTGCTCGCCCGGCCCGGCCCCGTCGCACCGGCCCGGCCCTGTCGAACCGCTCGGCCCCGACGCACCAGCCCGGCCCCGACGCACCCGCCCGGCCCCGTCGCACCAGCCCGGTCCCGTCGCGCCCGCCCGGCCCCGTCGCACCCGCCCGGCCCCGTCGCACCAGCCCGGCCCCGTCGCGCCCGCCCGGCTCCGTCGCCCCCGCCCGGCCCCGTTACACCGGCCCGGCCCCTGCGCTCGTCCCTGCCCCGGCCCCGGTCCTCCTCACTGGTACGGTTCTCCCCCCCCCCCCCCCGCCCTGTAGTGCCTGGCACCGCACTGCACCGCCCTCCACCGCACTGCACCGCACTGCGCCGCACTGTACCGCACGGCACCGCACTCCACCTTGCTGCACTGCCCTGCACCGCACTGCACTGTTCCTGATGGCGGCGGAGCTTCGCTTCGACGCTGAAGGTCAGCCTCTGGAGTTCGAGGCGTGGCTTGCCGACCTCCGTCGCCAACTCACTGGCCAGCGGCAGGATGGTGAACCGCTTTCCGCACACCTTGACGGTACGCTCCCCTGCCCAGACCCCCCTGCTATTCTGCCCGCTGACTCCACACCCACTGAGCGCGAGTCAACTGCTGCCACTGCCCGTGCGCGCTCTGTCTGGCTTTCTCACGATGCCGTCGCCCAGCTTGCCATTAGCAACGCCTCGAGCGCCCTCGCTTTAGGTCTATCACTACTGCTCAGGCATACTTAGATGCTGTCATCCAGCGCTATTCCACCCCTCCGGCTGCCTCGGTGGGTCGCCTGATCCTCCCGATGCTCTTTCCTGACCTTGCATCTTTCCCCACTGTCTCTGACCTCGCTGCCCACCTGCGCTCGATAGATGAGACCTGGCGTGCAGCCTGCACTGATGCACAGCTTAGAGCCCACCAGCCGCCCATTACCTCTACCCTCTACCTGCTTGCCACCCGCCTCCCTGACCGCCTTGCTGTCGCCCGCGACCGCTTCCTTAGCATTCACCCCGCAGACCTCACCCTCACTGACTTTGTAGACACCCTGACTGTGATAGAGACCCGTCACCGCTCCATCGCCCAGGCGAGCGGTGTCGTGCCGGTCCCTATCTTTCAGGATTGTGCCCCCGCCCAGTGTACCTTCTCCGACGGCTCTGCCGCAGTGGCTGAGACTGCTGCTGCAGCGCAGTTTCGTTCGGGGAAGGGCCGCCGCCCCAAGGTTGGGCGCGGCGGCCGCGGCGGCGGGGGTGCGGGAGGGGGTAGTGGTGGTGTCGGGTCGTCTGGTGCTGGAGCGGACGAGGGGACCCTGCCCAGTCCAGCTGAGCTGCCGCCCCTGCAGTTGCAGCACCCGCAGCAGCCGCCGCAGTCGCAGCCTTCGCAGCAGCCGCAGCAGCCGTCGCAGACGCGGCAGACGAGTGTCCTCCCGCTCGGGTGGCCCGGCGCTGGAGGTGGCCGGGCACGTGGTGGTGTGCCGAGTGGTGGCTCTGGCGGCGGGCGTTGTCAGTACCAGATCCAGACCGGTCCGCGCCGCGGCTTCGTTTGCGGTAAGATCGGTCACTCCACTCCCCGCTGTTTTCGTCGCCTGGACGACCTCTTTCGTCAGCGCTTCGGCCCGTCGCCAGACCTCCCGGACTGGCACAGTTTGCTTAGTCGTAAGATTCAGATTTCTGATATGGACATGGATGCCATTGTTTCTGCTCTGCATGTGATGTATGCTGATGACTCTAGTGTGCTTCCCGCCTATTACTCACTGTTGCCTAGTGTAGGTGTGCCTAGCTTAGCCTCCCCTGCTGCGATAGGCGTAGGATCTCCTGCTTTGTTTAGTCTTGGTGCTTCCGCCGTCGTTCCGTCGCCAGACGCCTCTGCTTCGCTTTCCTTCACCTTGGACTCTGGCGCTTCTCGGTGTTTCTTCTGCGACTCCACCACCCTGACGCCGCTTCCTGTTCCAGCTGCCGTTTCTCTTGCTGACCCCTCCGGCGGTCCGGTAGTCGCCCGCAGTTCCACCACCCTTCCCTGTCCGGCGGTTCCTTCGGGCACTCTCACAGGTCTGCATATCCCCTCGTTCTCCAGGAACCTAGTTGGTGTCGGCTGCCTCCAGGACCTTGGCGTCACCACTACGTTCCCTGGTCACGAGCGGTATGCTGTCTGTACCGAGGCCGCCACTGGTGCCCCCCCTGTCCATGTTCCCCCGAGACCCGGTGTCCGGCCTGTTCACTCTGGACACCGTGACCCCCCCGGTTGGAGCGCTCACCCAGGTTGCTGCTGCCTGCTCCTGTCGGTCCCTCACTCACCCGACCCTCCTTTGGCACCACCGCCTAGGTCACCCTGCACTCTCGCGTCTGCGTCACATGTCCCAGCACGGTCTTGTCCTTGGTCTCCCAGGTTCCCTCCCCGCGTTTCCCTCCTCCCCAGCCCCACCTTGCACGCCTTGTGTCGAGGGTCGTCTTCGCCGTGCCCCTCACTCCTCCTCGTTTCCCCCTACCGCCGCGCCGCTGCAGACCCTGCACCTGGACGTCTGGGGCCCCGCCCCCGTCCCTGGGCCGCGTCGAGAGCGCTACTTCCTTGTGCTTGTCGACGACTTTACTCGTTACACCACAGTCTTTCCCCTGGAGCGCAAGGCCGACGTGCCTGGAGCTCTCATCCCCTGGCTTGTCTCTGCGCGTGTCCACCGCGGTCTCCCTGTCTTGCGTCTTCACTCAGACCGTGGTGGCGAGTTTGCCTCTGGTGTCCTTGGTCGCTTTTGTCGTGCGGAGGGCATCACCCAGACGTTCACCCTACCGGACTCCCCACAGCAGAATGGGGTCGCTGAGCGACGCATCGGTTTGGTCATGGAGGTGGCTCGCACCTCCATGATCAATGCCGGTGCACCCCATTTTATGTGGCCGTTCGCTGTGCGATACGCTTCTCACAAGCTTAACTTGTGGCCGCACCCTCAGCAGCCGCAGGTTTCGCCGACCCGTCTTTGGACTGGGTCTCCTGGTGACGCGTCTGCGTTCCACGTCTGGGGCTGCCTTGCTCATGTCCGTGCCTCCGGCACGGACAAGCTCACTGCCCGCACCCTTCCCTGCGCCTTCCTCGGTTTTCCCCTTGACGCGTCCGACTGGCACTTTTACCACCCGCCGTCTCACCGCTTCTTTCACTCTCGTGACGTCACCTTTGACGAGTCTGTCTCCTACTACCGTCGCTTCCCCCACCGTGGTCCCCCGGTTACCCCCCCCTGTTCCTGGTCACTCCTTCCCCGGTCGTCCCTGCCTCTCCTCCTCCTCCTCCCCGTCCCGCCCCCTGTGGTGTGTCCCACGTCACCCTGCTTCCGTCGGTGGACCCGGTTGAGGAGTCTTCTGACTCTGGTGGCCCTCCTGTTCAGTCCTCGCCGACCGCCCCTCCCCTGGCGTCCTCTCCCCAGTCCCCCCCTCCACCGCCGCTGCCGCCGTCGTTGTCGCGGCGGCCGCCGCCGCCGCCGCCGCCGTCGCAGCACCCGTTCGCTGACTCTGGGGGTGCTCGTCCCGGTAGCCCTGGGGGTGGTCCCTCTGGGGGTGCTGGTGTGGAGAGTGCCGGTGGTAGCCGACGAGCAGCTTGCGGTCCAGGTGTCGCCGCTGTGCCGCCGCAGCAGCAGTCCCCGCCGGT